GCAGGAATCTACTCATTCAATAAGCTCAAAAATCTTCTTCATGAGAGTAGTAATGCTCCTAAAACCTGCAATAGTGAACTCCGTGCTTCATTGGGGTCCAGGTCAGGGCCTCAGCATCTACTCTTCTATAGAATATCAAAACCAATGATTAAAAAGGCTTAAGCATTTATTTCCTGATCACACAGAATTAAAGTACTGTTTCTTTTCTTTTTTGAAAAGCAAACAGTCAAGCAGATGGGAAACAAGGAGATATAACAGGGTCCTTATCATCACCATTATTGACTTTAATAGATTACAGACATTAAATATACAGACTCATACAGTGATGAAACCTGCACAAACAGAGGACATGAAAGAGACCTTGAGGGTAATGGTAGTCCTCACCCTTTAGAATAAATGCACACACTTTCTAATTGCATTCTTGACTCTGAGATTCCTCCTATCTGAGCTATAAATACAAGCTTAACTCCTCTCTCCACATACTCAGAATCCTGCTTTCCCTCTTGCAGATGACTCCAGCCATGAAGGCCCTCGCATTTCTCATTGCCCTTCTCCTGGTGGCCTTCCAGGTCCAGGTTGATGCAATGCCAGCAAAAACTGAAGAGGCTGGAGCCCAGGAGACACCCAAGGCAGTGGGTAACGATGTGCCTGTTTCCTTTGAAGAGGCTAAACATCTTTCTCGTAATGCTCGAGGTGAGATACAAACACAGTAGAGGTACAGAATCTAGGAGGAAGGACTGGCCAAGCTGTGAATGGTCTATGTCACTTGGTGAATTTATTTAACCTCTTGGATCTTGACTTATTCATATATAAAATGAACAGTGTGAATCAATAATATAAAGGATTTTATTTTTCCAAAGACTTTTGATTTCAAGATATGGCTGTATTTAACATATGAAGAGACATAGTAAATAGCTGGGTCTGGATCAAAATGGGCAAGATTTGGAGAGAGATATTTCATTTTGTCAATTTCAGGAGCTTGTAGAAAGTGGAGGAAATGAGCCTAATCTGTGATGGGGGCAGGAACAAAAATGGAAAGACAAATGAAGATGAGTCCTTAATCTAGAGTGTGATCAATATGTGCTACAAGTATTTGTTCCTATTAATTGGAGTTACCCATGCTGCTGACTAATGCAGTCAAGTTTAATTGAGTACAGACACTAAACATACAGACACGTGCTCTGACAAAGGCTGCAACAAGTAGGAAGAGAAGGGAACCTTGAGAGATTTGTTAACCTACTCAACCTTATAACTCACTTTTCCAGGATTCTGTTTACCACCTATCTGTGATCTCAGTACTCAATGTCTGTTGTTCCCTGTGTCCCTAGGTGTCATGAGAGACTTTACCTGCTATTGCCGAGCTGCAGGCTGTCCATGGGGAGAATATCCAAAAGGGCCCTGCTCCATCAGCGGTATGCATTTTACTCTCTGCTGCCGCTAAGTGTCAAGAACAGAGAAACTCAAGTGAGAAACTCAAGTTGCCACATGGAAGATAATTTTTATAATGTAAACCTTGCCTCTATTTCCTTCCCTCATCCTAATAAAGTCTATTAGTCTAGTAGCATTCTAGTTGCATTTCTTTGTTATTTGAGATTTGTCTTTGTCTGGATTTTAGAAAGCAAGCTCATAATATTAAATAAAAAATGTTTAAACACAAGATTGGTTTTAAATTTAGTGATTTGAAGGATAAGCACTGACTTCAGAAACAAATAGATATGTAAGCTTAATGATGCCACTGTCCTCTCTACCTACTTCTCTTTTAATTTTGTGTTAATTTAAACTGGATTTGCTCCTAAAGACAATACTCATGAGTTGGGCAAACAATCACTGTCAGCTTCAAGTTTATCATGGAAAACTATCACATATTTTCCAGAGTATTAAGGCTTAATTGTACAGACCTGGATCACACGTCAGCCTTTTAAGATCTGGAGTGTATCAATTCCATTGAAACAATTTATTTAAGAATAGATGGGTTGTTAACAAATGCAAAATGAATAGAACAAAAAGCATAGGAGCACCGGATTATATTGGATTTACTATCTGTATTATCCACCATTTTTAATGAAAGCTGGATTATAAATACATAAGTTTGTCTTCACAGACTGAAATTGATATTCACAATCACTCCATTGCACTTTGTGACATACACTCTCTTGAGTTTCCTTCAATTTGTTGAGAACTTGGTAGTATCTGTAAAATACAACTTCTAAGGAGCATCTAGGAAGTAAACTGAAAGCTGTTCTTCAAGCAACCTGGAGTCCCTGCTGGTGCTACAGCTTGCTGCAGAGTGCTGAGCACAAACCATCAAGCACATGGATGAGTGAAGTCAGGAAAAGTGTTTAGGGAAACCGTGGCAATATTTTGACCCTCTTGGATTCTTAGAGTGTAGGCTGAAACAGCCATAGCTGCCCATCAATGGTTCCATTTCCAGTGCTGTTCACCCCTACCCCAATTAACACTTTATATTTGGGGATACATCCTTCCTGAGTTTGTCTTTCTCCTTCTTCCAAGAGGTCATGCTTGCTATCCCATATGGTACCTATGAAGAACCAGCCTGACTTCTTGGTGAGGTGTAATGTGACTTCTTTTCTTGTGTAGCTTCTCTTTCCTTCTCCATATTCTCACTGACCCATAGACACTTGTCCACCATGTTCTTCAAATAGCCTTTCAGGTTATGACCACAAAGCCTGTTGAGGAGTCCTCTGTAAGCCACAGATTCCAGACATTTACTCTGGAAGTTTCAGTTCCAGTTTGTGGCTCCACAACACGTTTCCCCCCAAAAATGTATGTCATTTTAATCAATGGCTACTTTTATTGGTGTGGTCACTCACAGAATGCCCCCTGAAAGTCTAAGAGTGACAGAGAAACTAGTTGGCAATGGAAAAGGTCATGTTTCAAGTGGGATTTTCACTATTGACAAAAACAATGGAGGGACCACAACCAATAACAGCAAACGCAGATATACCTAAAGAAGAAAATAGGTGTTCTCTTCATCCCCTCCATGCTAATTTTGAGTTGGGTCACAGTCCAAGACTGAAGGTCACCCTGTCCAAGGAGGCAAATCCAGAGGTGTCACCTTCCCATTCAGACACCCCACAATGCAAGTACTGCAGCATAAATCTCAGGGAGGAAACAGGAACTCTGCAAGTCTGACAGAAATGGGATCATTTGTGCATGTAAGGGAGGTCAAAGATTGGGATTCAGGATATGATGGCCAAACAGCCTTCTTTGGGTTCCCGAAACTGCCATTGACTTGAAGTTAACCATCTCAAGCTATTAACATGAGTCATATGGTCACACAGGCATAGGCTCCAGGTTCATGGATAATGTGGGCCTCCTAAAGTCATACTCTTTTTTTTATATTTCACAGTGGTATCTATAGGCCAATTAATTTTTTTAAACTAAGTACGTACATTGCTGCTCTTCCAAAAAGCAAATATGAATTTTCATGGGGTACAGTACAGAACAAAACTGAAATCCTTATATGGAGTAAAGAATAGTATTTCTTTATTATTGAGGAACCTCATTATTTCTCTCTAAAAACATGTTATCTTATCAGTGACAAAGAACTTATGGGTGCTCCTTTGTTGTCTGGGATTGTGAAAACATTAAAAAAAAAAAACAGAAAAAATATGACCTTAATTTGTGCTGATTTCTATATTGCAGATGCAAAACAAGTATGTAGCTAGCAGGTTGCATGGTGGTTAAGATGCTAGACTCTCACATGTCCGACCATGGTTCAAGTTCGTGAACTGGTGGCTTGCTTTCTCACTGCCTCCCCATCTCTGTCTCTCTCTATGACTAGTGAGTGCAGGTGCCCTATAGCAAATATTATTTTAAGAAAACAATAGTATTAAATTAATCATTTTTTAAATTTTAAGATAAAAAAGAATAAGTTTTGCTTAAAAAGCACTATTTTTGTGCAACCTTTTTAACACTCAGGAACACCAGAGGATTCACTCACAAGCAACTATTGGTTGAGTGTGATAATTTGAATATGTAGTGTCAGTTTCTCTCTGGAAGAAGCAGAATACCTACTTGTTGTTGTAAAATGCTGCACTCCTAATTAATGCAACCTATTAACATTCAAAGGCTCTCTTTTTGCCATCCTAAAGCTTTAACACCACATCAAAGGCCCTGACTGCTCCTCCTTACATGGACTGAACCAACCCCTCAGATGTCAACTCTACTGTTCTTAGACAAGAGCTGTGACCTAAGAGTCAGGGTGGAGGTATCCTCCTCCTCAAGTATTCCAGCTCACCATTCAATGTGCCAAAATTTCAGGCAACATACATAAGGAACATGAGATTAAGGTATGTAACTCTACCATGGTGAGAAAGTAATTTCCTATAAATGTTTGTCCAGAAAGAGAGAGAAAAGGTGGCATTTTAGTCATTAAGGGGCGTTGGCATGAGGTCTGAGAGGCTGCTCACCACTGCAGAAATGTAACAATTTGTATTTTTAACACTCAGGAACACCAGAGGATTCACTCACAAGCAACTATTGGTTGAGTGTGATAATTTGAATATGTAGTGTCAGTTTCTCTCTGGAAGAAGCAGAATACCTACTTGTTGTTGTAAAATGCTGCACTCCTAATTAATGCAACCTATTAACATTCAAAGGCTCTCTTTTTGCCATCCTAAAGCTTTAACACCACATCAAAGGCCCTGACTGCTCCTCCTTACATGGACTGAACCAACCCCTCAGATGTCAACTCTACTGTTCTTAGACAAGAGCTGTGACCTAAGAGTCAGGGTGGAGGTATCCTCCTCCTCAAGTATTCCAGCTCACCATTCAATGTGCCAAAATTTCAGGCAACATACATAAGGAACATGAGATTAAGGTATGTAACTCTACCATGGTGAGAAAGTAATTTCCTATAAATGTTTGTCCAGAAAGAGAGAGAAAAGGTGGCATTTTAGTCATTAAGGGGCGTTGGCATGAGGTCTGAGAGGCTGCTCACCACAGCAGAAATGTAACAATTTGTAGGGGAAACCAAGGACCCCAAAATACATAATTTGCATCAAAAAACCCTAAGGTACATAGGACAATATTTATCCTTAAAATCATTAAAGAACTCCTCTCTCTCCAGAGGAGATAATTCCTTAAGCATGTGATTTGCAGTGGCAAGGGTGGAATGAGAACAAGTGATGGAGGAGAGTAATGAGGAAGGTTTGCCTTTCCTGTACTCTTTCATGGCTTAGTGGAAGGCTTGTCCCCTATGGGCATGAATATAGCTAAGGCACAGGAAGAACATAAAACCTTGAGGACACTAATTTTCTGTTCTGTGAAATCGACGTGGTGCGCTGAGTCTGTCATTTATCTGAGCATCATTTCCCCACTATCCAGCCTTTATCCTCAGAAAAAGTTCCTTCAGGAGCAGAGGCCAAGAAGTTTTCCTTTCAAAGAGCCCCCTCCAGCCTGCCTTACTCCAGTTCATGGAAACTGACAGTCCAACAAACCTTAGACTACAAGGATGCCATAGCCTCGCACAAAAAGAAGGAGCTAGAAAGCCCAAGGATTTTCTGCCCGTGGGCTCCAAGTGGGGAATAGGGTCCTCACAACACTTGACCTGACCATTTCTAAGAAGGGAGAATTTCATGCGTCTTATCATTCATCATCACACAAGTATCACGCCGAACATAGGAAGCCACCATTTTCTTCTCCTATCAGGGAGGAGGAAAGATTAGAACACAATGCCCTCTCTTCATAGCCTAAGAGTTATGTGCCATTTAGTCATGAATCATACAATCAAAAAGTTATCTAGTCAATGCTAGTCAGAGTTTTCCAAGGCTCCAACCCTCATGGAGCACATGATAGCTGTTACAGCTAATACAGATGCCCTTTAAGCACTATCAGTGGACCTGCCCTTGACCCCTTTTCAAAAAAAATCAAATCCTTGGCTCATCTGTGGCTGCACAAATGGTAGAGCAACACTGCGCAGTGACTGAAACCTTGTGGGAGGTCCAGTTTGTTTCCTAACTCAACCTTAAAAAGCCAAAGGCTATGATTTACAACTGTGGTCCTAGTTAACTGAGAGTCTGAACAGAAGGATGGCAACACGGCAAGATCTTGTCTGGAACATTGCTCTCTCTTTCTGTCTCTCATTAAAGACTAAAACAACACAAGCAAAACAACGAATCCTAACCATTAGGCCAGGAAACACTTTATAGCAGGCCCACCATGTACTGAGATATTTTGCATTTTGATGGCAATATATTCCCCATTTATCCAATCTGCTAAGGCCGTATGTGTTGTCAGAAGGAAGTCAGGACCAGCAGGTAGTGTAATGGCTGTGTCGCTGGACTCCCATGTAGTCGACCGTGGTTCACTTCCCATACCCACTGGCTTAAAACTCACGGTGGGTGCGTGTGTATGCGTGCTCAAGATCCTGAGAGGAGAATGGAGGAGATTGCGTCGTGGCCATCCCCCCTGGGGAGTGATTTCTCG